AGGATGCTCTCTACCAGTCCTCTATAAGCCTGGGTGAGAGGGCAACGGTTCAGACCAGCTTTTCTGAGCGGCCTGATGAAGTATAGCCGCTGCTGGGCTTTCTTCACTGTGGCAGCTGTGTTCAGTGACCAGCTCAGTTCAGATGTCACCTGCAGGCCCAGGAACTTGTGGCTGTCAGCCCTCTCCACCTCAGTCCCTTTGATGGTCAGAGGCAGCAGAGGGGAGGGGTTATTCCTGAAGTCTACTATTATTTCTTTTGTCTTGTTTATGTTGAGGCTAAAACCAGCAATGAACTGCCTCTACTCATGATAAATGTGTGTTAGGCCTGGGTTAGTTTATCTGTGTCATGCACCTCCACTGATGTTCAAAAACAATTAAAGGCACATCAGGGAAGCACACTGCTGCACTGGTTGTCTCCTCATTACAAAACAGTAATATTTGTTAAGATTGTCCAGACATCTTGTGCATGAGTCCCTGACTCTTGCTTACTTCAGATGCTCTAAAAAGTCATGGCTGTTCAAAGCATTTGGGCAACATTTTTAAGAAATATCAAGGTCTGGTGTTTTATAATGAGGAAACATGTCACCCAGTGCAGTGGTGTGTTACTCTGATGTGCATTTCATTGTTTTTGAACAACAATGAAGCACAGACAAATAAGATAATCCAGCACTGACAAACTGACAGACATTAACTGTAAGTAGACGCAAATCACAGTTGGTTTTAGTCTTTGTATGGGGAGTGTTTAAAATACTGCACATACAGAAGATGGCTGGCCTTATCATTTCACTTTAGACAGAGCCACTGTAAGCTCGCTGTTGCAGCTGCCTGCAGTCTTTGTGCTCATCTAAGCCAGTCAAATGAGAGTAATATGAGTCTTTGTCTTTCAGTCCCCAAAAGAAAGTAGATACTGTAAAGCGTATTCACCAAAATACCAAACTGTACATTTAACTTTGCTACAATGATCTTGATAAATACATTAGCTTAAAATAGGTATGTACCAAAAATACAAAATCAGATGGGTTTGCATTTTCATTCAAGAATTATTCATACATTGGATTTTTATGTATTTTTCCTTCCAATTGTTCCTTAATTGGTTTATATTTAATCATGTTTTGAGCACATACATACACAAGCCCACTAACAATTATCCTACAGATGCTTCCTATTGACACTGAAGAGAAGAAATGTGTCTAGCGCTCAAATAATTTGATCCCTCTGTTTTCATAGTGTGCCTTGTTGCACATTGATCCACTAACTGACTCCACCAGCTTTTGTTCTGCTCCATAAGAAGTTCCTGCATTTTCCAGACTGGAGTTTTCTTTAGAGTCTGACAGGGACAGACTGCCAGGATGACTTTGACTTCGCACTCATCCAGATTTAGTGTGCCACGGTGCCACAAGACAGAGAGCCCTAAATGTAAAACTACTGCTACATGTTTCCTATAAACACAAGACCATTATCCTCTGAGTGTGACCTTTCTACCATGGAGTGTGCCACAGCAGAGGAAGAGGCAGCCTGGAAATGACAATTTCCCAAGCTTTTGTAAATATCATACCATTCACTGAGACAACCAAATAATAGTACAAGTTTTTTAGCCTCCTCCTTTAGTTATTATAGCAGTCTAAAATATACCAGTATAAAAAAAATAAAAAAAACCAGTTCCCCACTCTGGGGCGGTCTTATTCCTTCCTTCAAGCTCGGGTTCTCTACCAGAGGCCTGGGAGCTTAAGGGTCCTGCACAGTCAATTAACACCACTGACTTTGGTACAGAAGGTCGGCGGTTCAAACCCCGGTCAGGCTGTGGTCAATATCCAGCTGGGTCCTTAGGCAAGGCCCTTAATTAAAGCTACCTGCCTACCTCATTACCAATGAGAGTTAGAAATGCCAGAGTCATACCGGCTTGGACGTTGTTTGGGTCAACAAGGTCCACGCCAGTGTTGAGCAACCAGGGCAACCTGATGAGAAGTGGGCTAC